CCCACTGCTCCCCACCACGCAACCGCCTGGCCGAGACAGCAGAGCCCGGGGGGGCACATCATGGGCCCACGGGCCAGGGTCTTGCCTGGCCGCAGCTCAGGGCCCAGCTGGCTGAGGGTGCTGGCAGGGGCCCAGCACCACAGGGGATGCCCCCACTCAGTTGTCACTGTCTGTGACACTCCCCATGACGGTCCCACTCGGCTCAGCCTCGCCACTGGCACCCAGGTATGGAGCTGACCCAGGCATGCTGGGACCCCAAGGTACCCACAGTGGGGGTGCAGATGAGGAGGGTGGGGGGCACTGAGCCACAGGGAGCCCTGTGGGGGCTGTGGGTGGGGAGTCTCACCCCCATTACATGCTCAGTGCTTGCAGCACCCGTGGCCCCCATGCATGGACCTGTGCCACCTCCCTGCTGCCCAAGAGAAGGGCTGGTACCTGGCACCGATGGCCCCCAATGTCAAGGGTCCCAGCCATGCCTGGCTGGACCCCTCCCTTGCCACCTGCAAGTACACAGCGCCTGGGACAGAGGGCACCTGTGGGGGTGCCTGGGTGGGCTGCAGCTCCACGGGGCTGTCAGGGCACCCGGCCGTGCCCACAGGCACCAGCACAGGGGCTGCAGGTGCCTGTGACGGGCTGTGGGCACCCAGCACCTCTGCTCCCTCCCCAGGGCTGGCGGGACAGTGTGGCCGATCTGCTGCAGCCCTTCCAGGAAGACCCCATTGACAAGGTGGCTGGCATCGGTGCCACAGGTTTCATCCTGGGTGAGCGTGGATGCAGGTGAGCCCAGGGTCCCCATCCCTCATCCCCACGGGGCCTGACGGTGCCGTGCCCACCCCCAGGCACTGCTGCTGCCGCCACGCTGTGGAAAGGCTCCCTGGCCACCTGCAAAGCTGGGCACCTCTGCGTGCAGACGCTGGTGCAGCCCTACACCGACTACTCAGGCCGAGAGAAGGTGATGGAGATCTGCACCGATGTTGTCTCACTGGGTGAGTCGGTGGGGTGCTCCCATCATGGCGGGGGGGGGCTGCCAGAGTGGGCACTGAGCGCTCAGCTGCAGCTTCTGCCCCCTCCCAGGTCTGCGTGTCCTCCTTATGGACCAGTGGGTCAAAACTGGGGGCACCATGCGAGCAGCCATGCAGCTGGTGGAGATGCTGGGGAGTGTCATGGCAGGTAGAAGGGGGGTACTGGGGCACCCTGGGGTGCACCCATGGGTGCAGTTGGGAGCATTGTCCCTGTACCTTCTGGTGGCTGGTGCTGAGCCCCCCCTGCCTCGCCCCACAGGCGTCACTGCATTGAGGACAGCGAGGGTGGGCGGTGGCTCCAGGAGTGCTACAAATGTGCCCACTGCATCCCCCCAGCCCCGCTTCGACCACCACCAGTTTGGCTGGGTCTGATGGGGGGCTGGCACCCCATGTGCCCCCCCCCCGCAAGGTGCAGGCCTGCCAGCTCTTTGGGGCAGGGATGCCCGGGGCATCTACCACCCGGTTTGGCTGTCACCACACCTGAGGTGCTCCTCAGTGGCCACCAACCTCCCCTGGCTCCATCCTCCCGCCTGCCTGCGAGCCTGGGGGGCTGCGCCCGGGGCAGGGGGAGCTGCAGCCAGACCCAGCCCCCAGCCCTACGCCTTTCTTAAAAAGCATAAAAAAGGTTTTATTAAGACAAATGGGAGCCCAGGGGCAACTCCCCCTGCAAGCAGCA